CATTTCTGTATGCTTATGGTTTATGGCATGATTACGCCTTTTCCTGTATTGTCCGACTTTGACTTTCAAAATGATTTTAGTCAATAACGCATTCTCCTCATTTTTTGAGCACAGAAAACTGATTTTCAATCACCTTGAGATCAGGAATGTCAGTCGGCAATGAAAATTTCTATGAACCATTGGAGACTTAGAAGTAAATAGACAAGAAGGAATTGTTTTTTTTCATCAAAAGCTGACGAAAGTAGACTGATAGATAGCATGGTAAAATAATCAATTTTTCAGAAACAAAATTTACCGAATCAATTGAAGATGGATGAAAATGTGCTAGTTACTGATATAATGATATTTTAGTCGCTATCAGATACCCATAACTGTAAGCTGTCCAGACAGCTAGATTCAGGAATCGATCGGATAATCATCATTGAAAAGTATTTTACTGGAGGCACATTTTGCCAATGGAACAGTGCTAATTTTTAGCCTGACTTTACGGGATCATGTAATTTCTCTGAGATTACTTTCCACGTTGTTATTGGTTATTAAGACACCGCTCCATAATATGTAATAATCCCACGGAGATACTGGTATATTTGGCTTCCTTTGAGTCGCACAAATTCGGAATGATTAGTAAAATGAAATCTGAAAAAACGGCATTCCTTTTGTTCCGCATATTAGGGAAGTTATCCACGAATAAACAGAGCTCACCGCTGACGTGTATCGCTCGAAGGAGCTAGAAAAGAAACCGTTTTATCTCATTCTCTGGGCTCAGTGAGAAGTCGATGGAGCTGAGGGTTGCGGCGTAAATTAGATTAACAAGGATAACTGATCTAGTGATCATAAGTAGCCCACATAGATGTGTACATTATTATCAGATTTCTAAAAAGTCTGACAACGTAAATGATTTGAGAGTTCCACCGGGATTAGGTTATCTGCTAACACTTTATTCGACAGACCAATATCCATTTGTTTGATAGCGTCGAGTATCCCCTGGTCCAACCCACTTCCCGATTAATCTCGATGATCAAATAACAGTGTGATCATCTTAAACCTCATCTCCCTTTCCAAGGTACAATCACCACCAGCATACCATAATGGCAATTTTCTCTTTAATTAATGATATATATATATAAAGTAATGCATTGGCAAGATTGCGAATCAATGATAACGACCTTAATCGCTGTTTTTTGTTACTGATAATTTGATTGATTGATAATCAAGTTTTGCTTACACCATACTGTGTCTTCTTTTGAACAGAATTTTATGTTGGTGGCTAATCGTGAACAACCAAAACTGATTTATCTCTTTTACTAAAGTAACAAATGCAATGCCTGCAATCAGTTGCCTTTTTCACCATATTCCTTCAAATGAAGAACTTTGATCGAAGTTCTTCAAAGTGGGTGATACCTAAAAACAGAGGCTATTCACAGACAACACTCTTTACCGAAGAAAAAAATAATAAGGATGAGTAATTACCTGTTCTTCACGTTTATCGCATTCTGCGGCTGCCAATTGACGTTCCAGCATGCTGATCTTATCGGCCATTTGTTTACGATCACGTTCATTCTGACGCAGACTTTCTTCTTGTAGCATAAGAGCCGTCTGTGTGCTTGTGAGTCGGCCGTCAACTCCTTTCTTGTCTGCAAAACAGTGAAATGGTCCAGCTCCGTGTCAAGCATTCGTGCAACGTGTAAATGAATAGAGCTCATTTCAAATTATTCTGTTTGCATCTATGACCAATTACGTTTTGGTGGAAGTGCTCCTTTTTATGTGGTATAATAATTTAAATGCTCCTTTTGTACCCAGATGTACAAGTAATATAAAATTAAACAATAAAATACCCTTCTGATCGAATTTCTACTTTTGGACAACCCACATTTTGCTAAAAGACCTAACAATAAATCACTCACGGTAAACTTCTTGTCAGAGCTAGGTTTGAGGATTATGCCACCTGAAACAATGTCCTCCATGCTCGAAGTAGAAAAGTGACAATCCACCTCTCTGGACTGAAAGCCGTCCGAGCAATAATATGCGACCGGTGATAAAACTAGCCTTTTATAATATTATTATGTTGGGGTCTCAGAGATATTGATATGACGGTATAAATATACAGTGCGCAACCTATGTATTTGGATGTATTGTTCAAAATTTTGATAAGTGCTTACATACTCTGCACCGAATAATATTTCAGAAACAAATGGACAGCAAAGTAAGTTTTCGCTCCCAAAAGGAAAAAAGATTTTACAAATGAAACACTAAAGAAAAACGCACGAGCAACTCTTTCAAAAACAACCAGCCATAGAAACCAATTTTCACGGAAATGACTACACAGTTGTGGCTGATCAATCGCGAGACGCTCATAAACGCCGCTTGTTGGTTGTTTCACTCGGTTCGCTCAACAATACCATCTTCTTGGGTGAGAGATTGTGAATAAAATGATCTACTCGGATTCAGATCACGATTCCCTGAACTTGCCTGCTTCCGCTTCACAGAGGGCTTGCTGCACTTGATGCAATCGACGAGCCCATTGTTCCGTTTGTTCCGTTTGTTCGTCCAATCGGGACTGTAGAGAATGGACTTGGGCTTGGGCATCCTCCATGTCACGTCGTACACTGGAGAAACGTTGGACAAAATCATGCAACACCTGACGAACAGATTCCGGATCTAGATCCGCTCCGCTTACCATGTTCTCCGCGCGACTAGCTTGAGACTGGTCAGCACCGGGGTCTACAAAGTCAGTTGGGGTGAAAGTGGTCATTGCACAGATAGAGCAGGTCTGGATAAGCAATTCTGTCCGGAGATCAGAAACGATGTTATTATTATTATTTATTATTTAATACTTTCACTCAAAACCAGTAAGACATCGAGTTTGTCCGCAACATTCTCCCCGACGAATGTCAACGAATGATATCTGAATTGTGATCTTTTGTCCAAGTTTTAGCCTCTGGTCATCATTGTTCTCGAGCTAAGTTTCTGTACAATAACAGGAATATGTTCAAATATACTATATTTATAGATCATTCGCACTCGGGAACATTAAAAAAGCCTTTCTCGGTACTACATCATTAGCCATCTGAAAGTAACCAAAAAAGAGGTGTAGAAAAATCTAAGATTGTCAGACATTCGGGCAAACTGAACTCACTGGCACGTAGTTGAAACTGGGGCTACAAGTACAGGCTAGAAGAACAGACAAACATCTATGTGTTCACCACCTAGTATCAGTAGCTCGTTAATTTCTTCAGTATTCAACCATTTTCTTGTACTTTTTTCCTCACTAGCCGACCGACTGAGTAGCACAGAAATACAAATCGTAACACATTAACGGAAGTCTGATCGTTGCACAAAATAAATTAAATAAATGCATGGAACCTAATTATGCAGAGAGGACCATTGCAATACGGAAGTGACCAATGCATTTTAGGAGAACAGTAACAGTGGATTTGGTTCGAGCACTAATTACTGTTTCTCAAACATGGTGTGTACACAACCGTTCTAATTTGTTGTCTTTTAGTTAAACTCTAGCTCTCTCCTCAATTCTTTTTTTACCGCGAACAAATCATAAGTGACACGTAAGACAGAAACCTGAATCCTATTCAAACCGCGTGAGACTGTTCCGAGAATTTTCTTGAATATTCATATGAGGAATTAAATTATATTGAGCGTGCGTATGTTTCCTTTTTCTAGCAACCAGTTCCATGTGTCTATTCATTCAGTAAGTTCGGCAAGTGCCGATTGATTACTGATTTGTACACATTTGTAATGCTTTATGCATGCACTAGTTTTCACACCGATAACATTCGGGAGCGTTTACAGAACTGGTCTTATGAATTCCTCCTACAGCGAACACAAGCGATTTTGATAACATCCGGAATTAAAGTACTTACCTCTCTCTATTGAATCATTCCGGCTGGGATTCGGACTTGAACATCTCAATGCACAGCGAATAGGCGAGCGCGATGTGGACCGTCTGGGACAAACAGGTGTAGCTATTTGGCGATACGGTTGACGATAACCGATCAGTCGGCGTAGAGAACTGTGAATAGATGCCAGTTTACGCTCCAAATCACGTCTGATTTCCTCATTCTGGCACAGTTGTGATTCAAGCGTATTCACACGGCTCTCGGAACCGCTCAAAGCTGCACGGATATCGGACAAATCAGTGTTCGCTGTCTCCAAGCCTGCTTGCAGTTGGTTTCTAGCTTCCGTGAGACGACGATGTTCACATGTGGCGTGTTCCATAGCTTGTTTGAATTCACGTTCGCGACTGGCCAACGTTTCTTGAAGATCGGAAATTCTTCGTTCGGCACTAGCAAGATTCTTCTTCAGTGTGGCCCTAATTATGTACAGTATTGAAATACATCAATTTTTTGCAACGGAACAAAATTCAGTAAGTATGGGATTAAGCATGCGTTAGATTTGTTAGACGTGAAATCAAACTCAGTTCATCCGAATACTCCACGCTAGATTGCACTTCACGCCACGTTCGATGTAGACAAAACGAAATGGTGTTCCTTCAAGAAAATGAGTGCAGCCCAATCGCAAAAAATGTTTATACTTCCAGCACAAATTCACCGTCCGGTTACATAGCAAAGGAATGACGCTGTATCACCTTGGTCAGGTACAGAGTGATCATAAGAAGCTTTGTTGCCGTAAAAGATCGTTCTACTCCTCTTCGCGTCGCTGACGAGAATGTAATTCAGATTTCATAGATTATTTCTGTCGCAATGTATCGTCAAGTGGAATACCGTGACGTGCGATGATTGCCGAAGCAAGTAAGAAGTGAAATAAAATCATAAATGGTCAACCTAACACCGGATATGAGGGTACGAGAATCCTGATCAGGAGACCCGGATATCGAGGATGCGCTAGGCTTCCTGGATGGGGGCATCGGGATCAGTTAGAGATGCTGACTGGTAGGACCTAGAGTTGCAAACACTGACGTTCGTTCACGTTCTAAATTCCTTCGTAACCTCGGTCTGCCTCGATCTCAGAACCAATACTGCTTCCAGTATTGCTATCTGTCCTCTTCTTCATTCAGACGGCTAGTCAAACGATAGCAACCGAAGCCCCCACAAGAAAGTACATAATTAATGGTGAAACCCAGCTCCTGTTCTCCATAGTTTACTGACCTGTGCAACGAGAATCAGTGAATCTTTTCTTGAGAGTTTACCTTCTCTGATCTGTTGGGATAACATGGGTATCACAACATAAGCACGATTTATATTGCTCATCAAATTTGTTCTGCTCTCAATTAACTCTCAAAATACATAGAAAGGTCAGGATGTCCAAATGAGAATACTGTAGATGAAAATTTACATAATTGCAGGGTGTTAGGTGAAAATAGTTGATTATTGCGTAGGTACCAAAGTCAACTAGAGTTGAGCCTAAGAGTGCCTATGGGTACGTCTAGAAGCAACCCGAATAAAGCGTACATCATTTATTTCGTCTGGATCTATCAACCAGGTCAAAAGATGCGTTCGATATGTCCATTATGTCTAAAGCAATTATTTTCTCCACAGTTTGACTATTTGGCTGGAACCCCGATTGGTGATGCGATTCTGCTACATTCGGCTAGGCGGAATAAAAATAATACAAACAAAACCGATGTGAGCGAGCACCTGAAATAGGGCAGCGTGTATGATGGACAAACAAAATTACTGATCGCATTTAGTAAAACCCTAAAGATTCCCCCCCCCCGCCTCCCTTCAGTAGATCACACTTGCCTGGCAGATTCTAGTTCACTCAATCGTTGCTTCAATGAGAAGCTTTCTTGACGTAAACTTTCGTTCTTCTCTTCCTCTCGGGATAAACGAGATTGCAGTTCAATAATGTCTTTGGCTTGCCGTTCCTTCTCGGTATTAGCTTCTTTTAATTGTCGTCGCAATTCTTGTAGATCACGTCGTGTGTCCAGTCGGGATTTCTCACTCTCCCGTAAACAGTTACGAAGTTCGCTGAGTTCCTTCCGATCTGTGCACCTTTGTTCTTCCAAGGCTGAATTTGAGCAACATATGAGCCATGTATGAGTTGTGTACCACAGATAAGATAATGGTAATGGTCATCATATTTTCACTTCTTTCAGGTGAATAAAATTTTAAATCAACTTTCAAGAATACATTGAGCTGCAGCCGGTCAGCTGTCATTGTCTTGGGACACAGACAGAAGTATAATAATTCGGTGAATCAGTGCGATAGATACCTAAATCACTCGATCACTATCATCCTAATAAAACCCAAATTAAAACTAAACTCCGGATCAAAATTCATCTTGATGAGTAAAGTAGCGACAAAACTGGGGATATTGGTTAATCCTCTCACGTGATGCAAACAAGAAAGGTAAAGCTGTTATTCGGTGGTGTAGAGAACATTCATCANCATTCATCAGCGTGAATAGAGTGCTATGATTGGGATCCTACTACTAATTTTGTAAGAAATCTTCTCTTTGCCTCACCCATAGAATATCACTCAGAGTTTTACCAGTAAGATCAACCGATCAGAAGGTGTAGTATTGTTGAAGCTGATTTTAATTTCCACTTAACCGCTTTTAGCGTGCACATACCTTATCAGATCGGTCAACAAGCTGCCCTGGTTAGAACCCCTGAAACTTTCAATTTAGGCTTATGTTATGCCGTTGAAACACGCATAGAAGACCTTACTTCAATTATTACCCAGCGTTCTCCTGACCCAATCTTATCTTCAAAGTTTAATTTTAGTGTGTTAGGCAATTCGGTATCCGACGGCCGCACTGCAGCTAGTGTCAAGATTGTACTAAATGCCAAGGCTGAGCGATCGCTTCTCAACTGGGTTCCGGCCAACAGCCGGCCTTGGGCTGTACGTCTTAATGGTTCATTACAGGTCAACAACTACAGAACGCAGCGCCAGTGCTTATTCGGCGTATTCCTGTATAAATCGACCGACTGCGGTACATCTGAAATTAAGGATAAACTATACACCGATGTTTCTCAATTAATTCAGTGTTCAATCAAAGGACATCATAGTAGTCGCCGGAACCTTCGATGTTCAAGTGGGATCACAGGAAGAATCAGCCAGGCTTCTGGGAGGACCACATGCAATCCCAACTAACCGGACGGACAACGGAGATCACCTACTTCAACTCTGCGCGGACCGCGGATTGTTCTGATTAAGCACTAACTTCTCGCACAGGAACCGACACCGCCTTACATGGAAACCGCTAACCTCTTCACAGCGATGAACCCAAACTGACCACATCAACCTCAGTTACCGCTGGAGGGGTCTGACGTCAAACTGTGCTAAACTAATCATGGTATAATGATCTCCGTATATATTATCGAAAAATCCTTAACATCTCAGGATTCATTTTGAGACAGCCTAAGGAGAAATAGTCGTTACACTGCTTACAAGATAACGCTTTATTCAGTTTCAGTTTGAAAAGCTTTAATCAAGCAATTTAGTGCTGCTGCTTTGGTTGCTGTCTTGCAGCTTGTTATTTGGATGAAGCGGTAAAAGAAATATTGGAATTTTGAAATCAGTGTGACGATGAAAACCGAGAATTTCTATAGACTAAGGTTGCAAGGAGGATGAGTAGATGCACAAGTACCACTGTTTTTTCTACACTCATTGGATAGATCTATCGCACCTCAGAGGACTTCACATCACAGCTTATTTCAGTTTACGAATTTGAATCTTGAGTATCAATATTGAAATGCCATGGCAGGAGTACTGAATACACATAACAAACGAATGACGAACATTGCAAAATCGGTGGTTGGTTTCTGAAACATTTTCCAGTCAAAATGTTGAATCCCTTATGTCCTAAATAAATCTCCGTATATATTTGTTTGGATTTTGTTTGGGTAATACGAGACCCTCCTTTTAAAACATTCGTGAGTTCCTCTTTTTCTCTTGAGTCAAATGAATGATTCTTTCGACATTTGTTTCAGAAACGAGGAAGCGGCCAATCAAAGGATTACCATGCAATACAAAGACAAATGGAATTTCCGTAGGCTACAGTGGGGTTACTGACGCTAATTGTCGTAGAGATCAACGGGAAAAGTAATACAAAAATCTGAAAAATTTAACTTATATTTATGCCGTTCAATAATACTGGACAAACTAATCATTCTAACGGTGTATAAATGGAGAGCACTTTCAACGAAATCGTTTGTGGTTCTTATACCGCTTACGGTCTGAATTTTGACAGAAAAATATTTCAGGTCTGTATGTAACATCTTTATCAATAGCTCATTTTGTGACGTATATAGTTTGGGACTACTTGTCAAATGCTCACGTACGAATGACTATAATCGGTAACAGACTTACTGGCTACTGTCTGTTTCTCTTCGGCCAACTGACGAGCTTGTTCCACCTTTTCTGTCTCCAAATCACGTACTCGTTTTGTCAAATTTTCCTTGGACTCGGCAAAAGTGTCACGTTCTCGTTGGATCTCAGAGACCACACGGCGAAGATCAATTATCTCTTTTCTTAAGGTTTCCCTGGCCTCATCACTGTCTCGCAGACGGCGTGTTGTCTCTGTGAGAGAGTGTTGCACACCTTCCCGTGCCTCATCCAATAATTTTAGTTGCACTTGTAACTCCTCCAGTTCTTTGATTACCTCGTCCCGCTGATTCACGACTTCTGCCAATTTGTTCTGTAGTTCTTTTGTGTTTTGCTCATGCATATTGCTGCGTAACAAAGATCAATTCGTGCATAGAATGAGTTGCCTTTGGTGAAATCTTTGTGAAATCGATGCGTGTTATGCAGGGTAACATATGAAGAAATAAATTCGTATTAACCACGATAGAAGTAGCCGTCCTCCCTGCCTCTTAACTGTCATAAAAGTCTTTTATGTGGCTCCAATTTTCATATTTTAATACTTTAAAAGAAAAATGGACGAAAATAAAACCAGTGGAGATTTTTATTTCATTAACCGGTGTTCCTTTCAAGAATCTTATCATAGTTCAAGCAAAAACAACAGGGTGGCGAAAGAGCTCGTTTTCAGAGATTCGTATTCATGCCAATGCATCTCAATATATATCACTACTTCTTTGTCTAGCGGACATGGCGAGAAAGACTTGCAGTGAGGACACGCTAGAAGATGAGCTCCGTACTGTAAAATCAATCTTTTCACGTAACGGGTATCCGGAGCGTTTGGTCAACTAGATGATTCAGTGCACGGAAAACTCTGTACAAAACACTGAAGTTAAGAAAAAACCGTGTACATTTCTTCGCCGTTCAAAGGGGACACATCAGCCGGAATCATACAAAGAAGATGGATTATCCGACGCAATTTATAAGACTTTCTATGCATCCAAACTTTGTGTGTTGTACACGTCCAAGCCAATTGTGTTTGCGACTGAAGGACAAAGTTTACTACTCTGCGATCTCATTCTGTGTATACTCCTTTACCTGTTTCTGTGGAACAACTAACATAGGCCGCACGGTGAGGCGATTGTCCGAACATATTGGTGAAGATCACCCTGTGTGACTGAACACCGGAACGATTAAGTTACTCCCCAGTGCAGTGGTTTCACACCCAGCTGAAACAAATCCCACTGTGAACGATTCCGAGGCTTTCCGACCCCTGTTTCAGTTTCAGTCAGTTTTTACAACCATCAACCGAGCACTTTCGTATGCCGGTTTTGGTTGCTGTACAAAGTGCTTGGGCGATTATCGAGGCAGGTTTGCTGTCGGATGCCGGCCATAGCAGAAGCGGTGGGCCTTCCTCTGCACAACCAGACTCTGTGTGCCAAAAACACTTTGTGCCAGCGCTAAAGCATCCCTGATCCACCCCACATAAACCGCATCACGAGTAATCTTGATGATCGGATGAGTGGACGAAAAAACATGTGATCGTGGTGAACCCGATATCCGAGCTCACAATGAAATCGTTTCTAGTAATCTGTGATTTTGTTTTATTTTATTTTCCCATGACAATTTTATTCCCAAATAGTGATATATATTTTGAGATGTATTGGCATGAATACAAATCTCTGAAAACGAGCTTGTTCACCACTGTGTTGTTTTGTTTGAAATCTTATCATAATTTGGGCACTGAGCGGCTCTGGGTATTTCCTGGACACCTTGTCCTTCAGATTGTTCTTATCCAGATTCTAACAGTACTATCAGAATAAGGAAACTTGTTAGTCATCTCTAGCTGAAATCTAGTGTTTGAACATTTTGAGCGGATTGCGGATAGCACTTGCATTTTCCTCTGCCTAAAAGTTCTCACTTGAACCGAATTAGTGCCGAATCGGTGAATAACCTCAAGTATGAGACTAATCGTAAAACGTGGCATTGCTCGGATACATTTCGACAATTTACCATAAACGAGCTATCCCGGTTTGATCGAACGAACATCTTACCAGGTATCCTCGTAGTGTTTGCGAAAATCTTTCAATTCCTGTGTCAGTTCATTCTGTACCGTGCTATCTCTCTCGTGACGTGCCTGCGCTTCACGTTTTACTCTTTCCAAATCGGTTTCCAACGCCTTGATTTGTTGCTGAGCCTGTGCAGCCCGCTCGTTCAGTACGGCGCGGTCCTGTTCGGCCGCGGACAAAATGGCTTGTCTTTCGGCTTCCGTGGCCAGGACCGCTTCATCTCGTTCCCGTTGGAATGCCATAATCTTTCGTTTTTTTGTGGAAGAGAAAATCACAAATAATCGAGTGATTGCACGGATCAGCTGAGTTCCGAAACTCACTATACCGGTTACATAGTAAAACCATGGAAATTCAGTAGCAGTAGCATACGGCTGAACTCGCATGGTCTAACTACGGTATTGATAATATAAGGCTCGAATATATTTGAAAGAATAGTTTTTGAAAAACATGCCTGATAACTAACAGTGATAACCAAAAGCGTTTGTATTACTCACCATAAAATTTGTGTCATTAATGATGAATTACGGGCAATGCTCATTGATTAGGAACCGACGTTCTCGGTGAACTCACTCTCAGGCTTATACAATCAAAATTTATGGAAAAAAATTCAGTAACGTCAGACAGAAAGGAGGATTATTCGAGTGTGTTGTAATGGGTTCCGAATCAGTCCAACTGAATGCGATGCTTGAGTTACGCAATCGAAATTAACTTTGTTATGTCATGGTTGTATGCACAAGCGATTTCGTCTTCCTTCGGCCAGGAAAGATTGGATGCTTGAATAAACTTTCGTTGTGCCGGTAGTTCAGGCTTCAAGAGACATGGTTATCTCCCGTCCGGTCGCCGAAGGCCAAAAAGCCTCAGTGGGTCGTGGAGGGAATCCATACGCGATTGTGAACTACAATTGCATGTCAATTGAGTGCCGTGACCCCATCAAATATGAGCTCAACACAGCTCCAACCTATCACGTGTGCGCGGATTAGGATGTTCGTCGATACGGTGAGATAACTACTTTGTCATTAGACCTACATGAGCTGTACATAGTTGATTGTTAATACACGATCCAAGCATCGCATCCATTTGGAATGCTTTTGAACCTAGAAAAACACAAGAAAAACATCATTCAGTTCAATGGTTGTAAAAAAACTGAACTAAACTGAATTTCGTTTCAAAGAAGTATGTTTGTACGACCTCTGAGAATGCATTCACCGAAAACAGATGTTTAATTACGCTAGGGCATATTAACGAATTTTCACATCCTTTTGTATGCTGAGTATATCAGGATCCAGTTAATTTTTGAGAAGGGTGTTTTAGTTAATGCAAAGGTGCTTGAGGATTACAGAAGTGGGACAGATGAAGTGCAGTGGAGGGTTCCGAACAAAACCTCAGAGTCACAGTGATGACAACCCTAACCGATTTACCGTGCTTACGTTTGGAGACCAAAACTCTCATAAAAAGTGAAAAACAATTTTTTTAGCGGTTTGGTAGTAGACAGGATAGTAGTAGCCAGAATATGTTGCATGGTGCAATCATCGCGTGTTACAGATAACACTGTTTTCAGGCCAGATTATGGTTTCATTATTATTTTTTAGTGTTTTATCTCTATTCAATATAATGATAAATGAGTGGAACGTAGTACATAAAACACTCCTCTGCGGTCGAGGCGATTTCATGATTATCAATAGTTTCTGCTTTTTTCGTGTGAGATTCTGTCAATCTAACCAAGGATCCCCGTGGTTATTTAAATTTTTTCCCAAATGAATTATTCTTCAAAAGTCACTCTTCTCGGTCAAGTATCCGGGAGTATACTCCTCAAATTATTTTCTGTATAAACATATATGTTTATGCCGCACTTTAACAGGAATCAAATGGATGTTGTGGTTCTTCAGGGGTTGATAGCCTCAGATTTTTTAAACAGGGATTGTAATACTCGTGCTTTGCACAACAAAACTGACGACCGGTCAGGTTTTGTTTGCGAAAGCTGTAGTTACAAGCAAGCCAATGATTGTCAGAAAACGCTTCGAGGTTGAATTATGTCCACCAGACACAGTCATGGCGTCTGACATTTTGCCTGGATTTCCTGGGACAAATCTGATCGATGATTCAGTACACTATGTGTTTGTGATGTGTTGTAAACAGTGGCATTAGATCACCATTCTCATACAATCATGTTTGATCGCATTCCACTCCAGCGCAACTGGCTCACCGTTTTGCCTACCCTGTTGATTTCTTCACCGAGATGATCAAAAAGTTCAGTTCAGTTCAGTTTGTACAACCATTAACCATGCACTATCGTGCACCGATTTTGGTTGCTATCTTTCGGTTACCCATTTGGATGAACATTAGGAGAAAGACAGGAAAAATATGTCAAAAATAGCATAGTATATTACAATGTAAAATGGAGAATACAACCGAATTTTTGAAGCCTTTCACGGAAATATTTGCGCCGATACAAATGGTCTTAACTCGAATGCATCCGAGATTTAGGATAAAACACGTCAGCTCATTTCATTTTGAAGTAATATAAAATTTCCGCCATCTGTTTCGGCCCTCGGCCGCGACAGAATATTTCTGTCACTTGCTAATGGCTCTGTGATACGCAACTTTGGTGACTAACATGTTAAACGAATAAAATCGAAATATTCCACCCATCCTGATCAAGTCAACTCACTTCAGCATTGTGAGCTTCCTTCACTTTATCCATCTGTGCATTCAGTTCCGCAATTGCTGCTTTGTGTGTCTTGATTAGTTCCCGAATTTCCGTGTCCGCATTTTGTCTGGTCTCAACCAGCTGGTGTCGAACAGTGTTCACTTCCTGCTCGCCGCATTCTTTCACGGTTTGCAACGCTTTTTGCAGTTCCATTTCGCGCTGTTGACATTGTTGTGCAGCTTGATCCCTTGCCTGACAAATGCGTTCTATTTCTTGTTGAAGATCAGCCTTGACGCGTTTGAATTCAGCTTGATTGGGGATGCGGAACATAAAAATGTGGAAAGATAATGAAGGAAAAGGGTGTTTATGTGAATAACAGGATCAGTTAGGCTAATTTGACATGTCGAAATCCAAAGCTACTGTAGTATCCTGATGCGGAATGATTTTACTGCCTCACAAAGCAAATTGCTGTTTGTTCTCACTTTTATTTATCATTTGCTTCTATAAAATTCCCAAATGAATGAACTTGGTTCTCGTAATGAACACCTTCGTTTGAAAAGAGTGGGTGAAACAGCAAATGGAAATTTGAGAACTTAAAACGAAACAGATTTCACAGTAATCAACTTGACATGTGATCAATCCAGGTGCAAATTATTTTTTTTTGGATCCTTAAAACTTATTAATCTACTCAAGGGTAAATCCACAAATCCTTATTCGTTCCCTATTTCTTGGTATTCCCTTAGTTGAAGCAGGCAAAAGTCTGAATTCAACGCACGATGGTGTCTTCGGTTTTGAAGGCGATGTTTTAACTGGTTCCAGTATTTGTGCTGCGGTGGATGATCACATCTCGTTTGCTTCGAGCGCCATACATAATGCAACACACAAATCTGCTCGGAATAGGTCAACACATTATCCTGAGCTAAACGCATACAGCTGGCTATCAGTGCGCTATACAACATGAAAATTATTGACAGTCATCCTGTGCCATGGAAATGAACAGGATGATTAGAAGGTTTATACACTCTGTAGGAGCATCTCGTTTTAAGACTCATGGCAAATGACTTTCAAGGTAAACAAAACCGCAAATAAAACCCTACGAATAACAAGCGTGACTGTGCCAAAAAGGTCTCAGGAAGGCAATGGTACTCAACAGTGCAACAAAATCGAACTACTCTCTACTCGACACGCGGTGATGCGTGTAGGAGGGGGCTAGCCAGTATGGGATATGGTAGAAGTTAGAGCGAAGATATTTTGAATCACCGATTCATCCATGATCAACGGGATTTTCCAAAAATATCCACCGCTATTGTCTTCTCCTGTCTGAAATTGGCTTTGAGCTCCGTTACCTCTTTAGCTATTCGATGGTGTTTGTTCCAAAACGAGACTGTAGGCCGTTTCTCTGCGTTTATAAGCCATAATAGGATTTGCATTTATGGAGCTTTTGCCTAACAAGAATACATCACAACAACTGGTCCACATCATGATTGTCTTTTCTACTCCTTCCTGTTTGTCTCGTTAGTTTTATGCATGCATGAACAAGGATAGGTGGTCTGATTCCCGTGCGTTTCATCGCTGAAGCAATTGATAAAAGAACTGAGTTGAAGAATGAAGTTTCTAGTCAGCTATAAGCTTTCATGGATAGCCGGTACTTCAGGCTGCATTTGTGTTATTAAAATGTGAACAAATGTTCTAGCGTTGAAGTTGATCCGGTTCTGATTTTCTGTGATCAAACTCATTGAGCCCATTTGAGTGATAGGAGTGTGTTCGTGCAATTACCTGAACGGGGCCGAATTTCGATCAGAACCAATAGGACAGATGAATGACGCAAACAGCAGCTCCCTTTCAGCTACCTTATTCATTCCGTCCATAGTCTTCATATTCATGGTAGCTATTCAGTATTTTTCGATCAGTTATTCTCCATAATAATTGTGAACCCTTTTCGCTAAAATTTAAATCTTATTAACTGTGTTATCAATGACTCGACGAAGTGAACAAAGAAGAATAATACAGTGAACCAAACGTTGTCAAAGATCGGTAGGATTCTTGAGTAATGGTTTATCAAGTGAATTTTAAAGTCGACTAAACAAGGATAGATTTGCATTTACAGATGTGAGGCAAAACGCATGATCCTAATAATCACATTAACCATCTAAATAGCTATCGGCAACTCATGAAATTCTTTTCCCAGCTGAGAGATGAAACCCATGAATACGGGGAAAAAATATCCAATAAATATTGGGGGTTGTGCAGTGCACGAGACCGAGGTTGCAAATCACAAATCGGACGTACCCATCAGATTCTCGCGCTTGACGCCCAATTCTTGATTCTCATTTTCTAGGAGATCTTGATGTGTCTCCAATTGGGCCACTTGTTGTTTCATTTGGTAGTATTCCGCTTCCAAATTCTGATGATCTTTCTTGGTTGCGGTCAGTGTGTCCGACAATTGACAAATCTCTTTCTCCAGTTCCCGTACCTGATTGCTTAGATCACTCTTCTCCTTGACCAAATCTTCCTTTTCATTTGATATCCGGGCCAACGAGTCACGCAGACGCTCACAGTCTCGAACTGTTTGACCTAATTCATTGGTCAGTGCATTCTTCTGGCGGGTTACTGCGTTTAACTGAAACAGGTGTAATAGTGTATGCACCGGTAATCTGTAGCCGTGGTAATTGTCAAGTGAACAGTTTAAATGGAATTGCTTTCTTTTAAAAAGAGGACAGCTTCTTAATGAAAGACAGTTATTGAGCAACACAGGATATTTGTATGCACTAAAGTGAACACATGGTTATCAGGAGTTTCCTACAGTTTTTTCTTCTCGTCTGACATGATCTAGATAAAGGTTTCTCGGTACAATTATAACCAATGGGGTTGTTTCACCCATTCCAACTACAACAATGGATTATCGCCTCCCGTTTATGTTTGCTTTACTCATCAGGTGAGAGCTCACATAAACGACCACATGTCTACTAAGTGACAGCGATTACTATTGTACACTGTCTGCTCAATTGTCTCTGTCATTGCCCAGATTGATTTTCATTCGTGGTAAACCAATGGCTTTAACTTATTCCAGTATTTTCACTTCGTCCAGTTTTCTAACACTACTTGGTATAAATCACTTACATGAAAGGCCTCATCGCGTTACTTAATTGTGATAAAAATCAGCTATTGATTTTACACACTATCGATTGTCCAAAACGGACTCATTGTATCGAAAGCAGATGAAATTTACCGCTCGTCTCGCCAGGATCAAGAAAGGCACACAAAACCGCACTTCAGTACTTCATATAAATTTATGACCCTGACGCTTTAATTTATTAGTCCGTTTTGTGCTTGATGTTAAATCCTATGTCACCATTGAGAGCACCGGATCTGAATTTCTCTAGCTTTATTCAATTTTTTATTCACACGTTCAAATGTCTCATGGAACCTAAATGTTTTGGTAAACAAATTTTCACTTTTCAACATAGATAAATCGTTTTTACTGTCATTTGTTTATTAGCGTGGATGAAAAATGTGATACGATGCAGTAAATTGACTGTGAAGAATGCTGAATGAGAGTCGCCTAGTGCAGTGATGGTCAATCTTAGGTAACATTCTGTAGCTTTTGAGCTCATGATAAAAGAGTTTGAGTTATACACTCTGAAAGCGTTATCCAAATAGATCTACAATAAGTAAGCAAAGTTTCGTTTTTCAAAGTAGCCTACTATCATAAAACGTAGAGTTAGGCCCACTCGGTAGTGTGATTATTTATAGAAAAAATACCAAGCATACCATCAGCACAAACATTGTTAATTTATTTGATAATATTCTTCTTTGAAAACTTGAATGCAATTCACTGTTTTTTACAAGGAATTCATATTTTTCAATCTTTTTTTCTCGTGAACGACAAATATTATTAACCGACTGTTTCGTTGTGATTAGAACCTATCTACAGTGTGTAGCGTTGTGTTCCGAAGGGGACTCCGACGACCAATCGTTTGGTAGTGCGTTGAAGCCGCTATATGTGATATTCGTGGTTGATGGCCGACTTGAAGCTTTGTAATTGAGTGTCCGATGAAATTCGGGCAATCGATGAAATTGGTCAAAAATAATTCTTTCTAATCAATTTATCTTTATGGCCACATTGATATTCCGGTACAAAAGTATGTTGCCGCCTTTTCTATCTTTCCTATACGTTAAAAATTACATCGTTGTGTCTATCCTTTTGTTCGTTACTGCCCTTGTTTTTTATCACCTGCGTTCTTTAACGAAAATTTGTTAACTTTTGCCCGTACGACCTTGGTACATCAATATACACCCTATCCAACCTCAAGTCTACTTGTTTGATTTGGTCGATACTCGGTTGTGCACCAACTACGGGGTCCGCTGAGAAGTTCATCCATACACACCGTAGTTTACGCTCCTCAAATTTATTAACACGATTGTTTTGTTAACANAAATTTATTAACACGATTGTTTTGTTAACAGTGTTGAACTTCGTAAAACGTTTTACGACAGACTGGAAGCCGTTTGTAATATAAAAATTTATCGTGGATAAACACTGCTACTGATGGAATCAGACACACTGTTGGACCTCATCGAGTGCAAACACTGAACTGACCTGATGTGTATTGAAATGAACTGGAACAATTTTGTTCACCCTACGCATTCATCACTCGTGGTGTCAGTGTACCCGCGTTTTGTTTTTCTCATAATTCGATTGTATTGGTTTGCTTCTAATGTCACCAGTCAAAACTACGATCAGGTCACGGATTGTACAAGCGTTTCGGAGGACCTCAGAATCTGTGTTGGCTGTTTGATATCACCTTAGCACCTGAACCAGTTGGTGCGACCTGCACGCAGAGGTTTATCAAATGCGAATTTTTGATCAGGCATCCAACT